ATATATAATAACATCGTCGAATGTTAAATCAAAACTCATCAACATTTCAAAGAATATATAGTATTGGTCACATTTCATTGCAATTTCTTGTTACAAGAACATGGTTACCGATACAAGTAGGGCCGGCTCAAGGGTAGGCACCTGCCTAGGGCCCAATTTTTTTTATAAATTTTTATGAATATATTACAAACATGAAAATTGTGTATAATTTCTTATCCAGGTCGGCTCAATGTCGCCGCCCCCTCCCCCCTCCCCTACAAAAAAAAGCCAAAAAGACTCAAATTTATTGTAAACTTTTTACATATATTCCCACCCAAAGTTTAACGAAATAGCAAGTTTGTACTTCTAGTTTCATATATTCCAATTTACACCCTTAAATTAACACGTTTAATTTCTTTTAACAATGAAAGGCTAAAATAGTCATTTACATGTCTCAAATTACTCACCCCCAGTTCAATCCCAAAATTCGACATTCACATAAATCATCTCCACCCCTCTTTCGCCATTGGCCATTTGGAGTTGATTCCGGTCAATTTTGGTGAGAAAATCGACTAGAATCATCACTTTATCATTTCTCAAGTGTTTTCCCAGCCTTGATAGCCCTCGATTTGGCCAATTTTTGACGAATCTTGCAACCCAACTCCATCGCACGCAATAGCCATTTCCGACATGTACTCAATGTTGTTGGCCTTCCCCGACACCACTATCTTCCTCCCCTCAGCCCTCTCACCAAAACCCCTATCATACCTCATCTGTTTACTCCGCCAATCGCCGATACCTTTTGGGCCACGAATTCTCAAGCCTTTTTAGGTCAATCCTGGCATTGAAAATCACTCATTTCACCACCCATCGCTTCTTCAGCATCTACTCTCCAGAACCCCCCACCAACCTGACCCTGTTAGCTCACCGGTCGTCGTCCACCTCTTCTAGTGATTTTGCATCTTAAAAGGCAAGAAAAATAAATTTGAAATAATTTTTTTAATATATGCTTATATTATTAGAAGACTCCTATAGTAACTCTTGCCTAGGGTCACAAATGTTCTTGAGACGGCCTTGGCTACAGGTGCAACAAAGAATAAGTAATTTATATATTTACACATTTTCCATCCCAATTAAAAAAACAATGTGAACAAACCCTAAAGTAAATATCTACGTGAAATGATTTCATAAATCTTGTCAAACTTGAACTCTTATAAGAAAGAAAAAATAAACAAGCACTCGTGTGCTAGGAAAATCTGTACCTAGCCTCGAGTTTCAAGCAATGTACAGTTCAAATAGTCGACTTTTTTAGCCAACCCAATTTCCAAATGGCTCCATGCAAAGCTATACACAACACATAACATAATACACTCGTCATGCATATGTTATCTTAAGCTTATGCACTCTCTTAATTAATTTAATTAATCTCTGTTTAGTTTGGTAGTCAAACAAAAGTCATTCATGGAAAGGGACTCACTACTAACCCAAAAGATTTTGTCAAGATTAGGTACCAAATGGTAAAAGCTTTATTATGTTAGTTTCCCTAACATAGAACTTAAAGGCATATTAATTTAATTTATAATCCAATTCTTTTGCTGTGTCTTTATCAAATGTGGTTAGACTTGTTAGATTGCATGGGGCAGGGTTTGGCATAATTTTAACCTATAAAAGTGCATTTGTTTATGTCTATTCTTATTTTCAAAGCCAAACTTACTTGAGCTGGTCACCTAAATCATAAGACTAGCTCAATGTGATTTATTAATTATTTGGTTTAATTTCTGATCTTAATTCAATTAATTCATGGTGGAGTTTTGATCATGCACGCCATGAATCTCACAACATTCCACTTATTGCTTTATTTATAGCTAGATTTAATTAATAAAACCAAGAACAATGGGTTTTCATTTGCTACTGGTTAGGAAGTATGTTTGTGGTCTATATTTGACCTAATTTGAATCTAATTAAGGGTTTATTACAATGTCACCCTTAAGGTTTGGCACGAAAAATGTTGCTACCCTCGAATGATATTTCTTTCAGGTAAATGTTAATGGTTCACAAGAGAGAAAATATATTTTGAATAAATTGTTAATTGTTTTGGTCAAACGGTTAACAGTTTTAGACAAACGATTGAAAGTTTTGTCAAATGGTTGGTTGTTTTGGTACCGTTACAATTCTCAAATGTAAAAATGGTTAGTCATTTGATCAAAACAGTTTGTCAACTGATTATTCAAAATGTCATTTTTACTATTTCATTGTTTTTTTTTTTTTTTTAATTAACTTATACTATTTTGAGGGTATTAACGTTAGTTTTGCAAAATTTAAAGAGAAGATTCAGGGGGTGACATAACTAACTCTCTCTTAGTCAGCTTCATATTACATTAGGTTTAATCTTCTATATATATTATATGATATTAATACGAGGTCATTATTATTGGCCGATCAGAGTGCAGATTTTCAAAGTTTTAGATATAATTTGAAAGAATGGTTGAATGGTAAAGGATGTGTGCACGGATGAGGTTTTTACTTTTAGTTCAACTAACACGAGACTAGAAATACTTAAAAAATAATAATCATATACATTTAGTCAAGTGATTATCATTAATCGTAAACCTAAAACATTGATTAGATTAGTAAACAATAACACAAGTGGTTGACATGATATGTTCTTTGAGGCACAATTAAGCTAATTAATTAATTAGCAGCTAATTAATTAAACAACGTTAGCATCGTAATTACAACACATACTCTTTATAATTAATAGCTGCAATGCTTTAAACATTTTACTTGTTTTTTAAAAGAGTAGAAATATTTACATATAATTCCACTTGTTTACATTACACCACATATTTTTTGATGAGCCGACAAGTAGTTCACATTTAACCCTTAAATTTTCAACAACAAAACTAATTTGACTTCCTTTTTTTTCTCAATCAAAATGTGTGTTTTAAGGTTATCAAAATGTTTAATATTATGTAAAAGGAAACATTTCACACTTACAAACTATTTCGAATATTTTGGTTCGATTTGGTGAAGAATGATTGATTATATATATATATATATAAAATAAAATTAACAAGTGCTTGATTTAAGAAGATTTTTATATTATATATTATTACTTCAAATAATTACTTAACATGGTATCAAAATAGAGGTGTATAAAGAGATTTGAATCCGTTGTAAGAAAACTAAATGAATTAAATTCAATTTTAATAAGATTTTCAACAATTGGCAACAATATTCATCTCAATTCAACACTCAGTGTGAAAAAAGAAGATTTCATTTTCCAATGTGAAAATTTGTTTGAAAGACTCCCATTTGTAGACTACAGTCTTTGTTATATTGGTGAGACATCAAGCTTTGAATCTAATGGATTACTAATAATTTCATTTTAGACTGTCTCTCATCGTTGATATAACATCTGAAACTAAACCCATTTCATCAGAAATTGGAGTCAAGACTTTAGTGATTACTAAGAATGAGTCAAACTATAATATTAGTCTAACCTACATTGGAAAAATTTGATTATCTCAAACCTCCCCTTGAGGATATCTTTAATCAATTAATTACTTAAATCCAAAATTGTCAAACATCCACACTCGACAAAATGGTGACACATTAAATTGTTTCACTTACTCTAAAAAAAAAAAAAATAAATAAATAAATTCAGTTTGGTGGCCTATTCTTTTAGAGGTGTATATATCTCTATCTTATAAATATAAACAATTTAAAATCATATTATATATTTGGAAACTACCCTTATTAATTTTTTATTATGGGGGATAATGATACATTGATACTAACCCAATTTTTAATAAATTGTGATAAAATTTACAACACATTAATTCTCCTTGGCTTGAATTGGCAACAAACCCTGCTGTGGTTGTTGCCAAATTTGCAAGATAGACTAAATGAAATTGAAAGGATGCATTTAATCTTAAATGGCAAGATACAACTAAAACATGTTATATATGTAATTATATTTGATATTGTATTATAATTAGACAGTTTTATTACATCAACCAAAAAATAAAAAAATAAAAAAAATGAGATGACGACACCGTCTCATGTAAGTATTCTCAAAGCTTATGTAAGATCGATCTTGTCATCTCATTTGTAAAACCATTCAATAAATACATATCATGTACTTTTAAACTTTAATTTCTGTTAATAATTACCATCGTAATAGGTAATTAATAAAACTCACAGATTTAACTATATATGACATTGTTTAATTAGACGATTTTACTACGTCAGCAAAAAATATGAGATGATGAGACTGTTTCATGTAAGTATTTCTCGAAACATTAAATAATGTTTTGAGAAGTTAAAATATATGATATTTCTACGTTATAAAGATGACATATTTCAATGAATATATGGCTAGGAATTATGAAACTGAATAATGCATTAAATCTTGACTGGCAAGATACAAACAAAAACTTAAAAAAAGTATCCATCACTCTTACTAACATATTGTAAACATTGAACCAAAAAGGTTTATGTGGGAATGAACTCATCGTCTCATATGTGATATTGTCAATGAAAAAATGTCACATACTTTTAAATTTTATTTTGTGTTAATTAATAATCACTATTACGGTTGACGGTTTTAAAAATATTCGACGTGTTACCACGGGAGTGAAAATATGAGATGATGAGATTGTTCACGTATCAATATTATGACATCATAAAACCAACACAGTTTGTGAATAAAAGGATAGAAATTCAACCCCTATTGACTAACATAGCATACTTTCTGTATAAACTAATGTCTTCAAAACAAGGAAAAAAAAAAATATATAAATTTAAAATATAAAGAGAAATAAAGAAAACTGGTAACTTAAAGTGGAGAAACTCTATGAATTTGAGAAGACTAATCCAACTACATGACAATGAATAAATAAAATAATTAATTAATGGAATTAATTTGTAACATAAATAGTAATCTTTAAAGATTTTTTTTTTTTTCCTATTTATTGCCTCACAGGCTTAATTTGCTTATTCATGGCATGACTCTTGTGGCCTACAAGTACAACTAGTTTTTGTCTCTATTGCTCTCTCTTTCTCTTTCTCAAACTCTCTCTATATATATAGAGAGAAAGGTAGAGGGTGATATGGGGTGAGTCCAATATTATGTGTTAAAATTCTTGCTTCTTTGAGTTGAGAGTAAACAACTTTTGATCATCATCATCATCTTCATCATGGGGAAAGGAAGATCACCATGTTGTGATAAGAGTCAAGTTAAGAGAGGTCCTTGGAGTCCTGCAGAGGACTTGAGACTCATCACTTTTATTCAGAAACATGGCCATGATAATTGGAGGGCTCTCCCTAAACAAGCTGGTTAGTTTGTTTCATTAACTTCAGTTTTTCTGCATTTCCACACATCTGGGTTTCATTTTTCAGGTTTGGTTCATTTGTTGGTACTGTTTCATTGCTTGTTCACAGTATGCAGAAGCTCACCAAATATCACCAAGAAGACAAAAGTTATAAACTTTTTACCTAAAAAATTGATTCTGAAATCTCGTTTAGTTTGTGTAATGCATATTTGGTATAAATAGGACGGTCCAAAAGTGGTAATTACAGTGACACAATACAATTTACAGTGTCTTACATCCCTTTCTTTAGTGGTCTTAAACGTCGTAATTATCGGACAATTTAAAGAGAGAATTATACCTTTTGAATATATGTCATGTGACATATATGGAAAAAAAAAAAAAAAAAAAAAAAATTCACTTTCCAAGTCTTTTGATGGAAAACATCGGTTAAACAACATACCAGTCACTAATTCGCTATATCATTACGTAACCGACTTTACTACCAAATGGTTTGTAATTGAACAGTGCAGACAGATTGAATTCTATTTTCTACCTAAATTTTGTGGCAATTAATTTCTTAAATGGTGGTCACATCACAATGCCATGAGCCCTGTTCTGCTGGCTAATATACAGAGCTTTATCTTCATACTAAAATGGAAGTTATGCAAGAGGAGAGAATATTGTGTAAATGATTGAGTTATGGGAAATTTTCAAAGCTATTAGAGTACTAAAATTTCGTATAAAACAATACACAAGTTAAAGGTAGAAAATGTGGACTTCAATGAAAAGGACTGCATAATGGATTTATTTTTTGTGCTTTGACAAAGTAAGATTCAAGTTCTCATTGTTTTTCTTTGATCGTCTTGTAGGACTGTTGCGTTGCGGTAAAAGTTGCCGTCTGCGATGGATTAATTACCTCAGACCTGATGTGAAGAGAGGGAACTTTTCTGAAGAGGAAGAGGAGACTATAATGAAGTTACATCAAACTCTGGGGAACAAGTAAGTGCGCAGCAGAAACTTGTTTTAAGTTCAAATTAATTTTGCTGTTAGTGAATTGTCTTGCCCTGACAAGTTGTAGCAAATTAATTTTCCAGGTGGTCAAAAATTGCATCTTATATGCCAGGAAGAACAGATAATGAGATTAAGAATGTGTGGAACACTCATTTGAAGAAAAAATTGGCTGTTAAAGATGCTAATACAGATCAGGAATCCAAGGAATCCTCATTGACTTCATGTTCCTCTTCTTCATCTAGCACGTTTAAGTCACCTGGCAAAAGGAGTGCAGATAGTAACCTTGATAAGCATCAATGGGACGAGGGTCACGCGCCCAAAAGGCCTCGCGAAGCAGGTGATAACATGGCAGCAGTGGAGAAAGTATTGGAAAATTTAGAAACAGAAGAATTAACACAAAACAGCTCCACCAAGGAGATGCAAAAACAAGTACCAACTTCTTCTTGTTCTTCCCATAACTCCAGTTTCTCAAATTCTAGCCAAGTGGATGCTGCAAGGCCTAATGACAATGACATGACAGATTCATTACTCTTCGAGTTCAGTGAACCGTCTGAGTTTAATATAAACACATTAGAAGAGGTGAATAAACCAGACATTCCGAATAGTGTGCTTGAAATTCCACTGGAGTCAGATTTAGATTTTTGGAACATGTTAGATGGCTTAGAGCCATTCCAATCTAATGAAGAACCTCAATTAGTACATGAAGTGGAGGCAAGCCAAAGCTCAAGCACCCGAGATGCACATAACAACAATGAAGTCGATAGCAGGGAATGGTTTCGTTACTTAGAATCCGAACTTGGTTTGGAGACTACAGAAGATCAAAACCAAGAAAATTCAGCAAAGAATGAAGCTGAAACTCAACCACTAATCCGAGAAACTTATGAGACACTGCTGAAACCAGAAGTTGACCCCGGCATAAGTTACTTTCAACTATGGATTTCATCACCACACAGTTCAGTTTTCTGAATAAATTTTTTTACAGTGTTACAAGTCAGTCGTTCTTGGATCAGATCAGCTTGTTAAAATTGACCAGTTTCATATATACATTAGAAAGTGTTTTTTTCTTTTTTTCTTTTCTAACTTAATACTTAAATTAGGCCTATATGATGTATGATGGATTTGATACACATTCATCGTACATGTATTTTAAAATGCAGTGTAAATCATAGAAAAAGCAAACTATTCATCATTCAAACATGAAATTTTCAAAGATTTCTGAGTGGGTTGGTGATGCTTTTCCTCTTAATATATGATATGTTTAGGTCTCTACACCTTGAAAATATGAATGTTAAGATTGTTGAAATGTGAATTGTATAAGTTATGTAATCAATTTGACTTGGTTTACATGCCGTAAAACTAAATATACGGTTCAGGTGATTGCTGCTATTCACAGGAGTTGAAAAACTCTTTATCCATTTTCCTTATGTTTACTCAATGTAGAGGAAGTTTGTGATTGAAATTTTCCAAAAACATTAATTTGGCAAATTAAATATAAGTTATGCCAAAAACGTAGAGGAATTGTATAAGTTATGTAGTCAATTTGACTTGGTTTGCATGCCATAAAACAAAATATAAGGTTCAGGTGGTTGTTGCTATTCACAGGAGTTGAAAAACTCTTTACCTATTTTCCTTATGTTTACTCAACCTGGAGGAAGTTTGTGATTGAAATTTGCCAAAAACATTAATTTATATTAGGTGCAACTCAAGTGGCTTGTCATTTTCCTCTTCATTATTTTTGAGTTGGACGTTTCCATATTACTTGATCATCTTTAAGTGAATTAAATTGTATGGCTCCTCTGGATTTCAATATCAATTTCATAATTTTGACAAAGGGGTATGTGAAACAAGTGCCATCGTGTTTATTTCATATACCTAAAATGAGATCCATTAATATTAAACATACCAACAATTATAAAAAAAATATGTAAAACCTTTACTAATCATAGGAGATATACAATACTTTCTGATAAACATCGACACATTTAATAATATTAATCGACAAGTTATATGAAATAAACCCTTTCTGAGTATTAAACTTTGTATTGCTTCAAGGATGTTCTAAAAACATTGCTATGCAAATTAATGATTGAAAGAATTGATGTTTGTAATGTTATTGAAATTAAAAAGAATCTAAACTTAGTCAACATGCACTATTTGGTTCAAAGAGTGGTCTAAATAATTATAGCCATGTGTAAATCCATCACGATTTATGGACACAAATTAGCATTATTCAACCATCTCTTTCAAGCCCTCAAAGCCAGAAAAATTAAACCCAAATATGAAAAATAAAAAAAAAAAAAATCTAAGAGTTTAAGAAAATTGTAACAATCAATGATCAAATCATTCAATTATCTCTTTGACAACTGTCACAGTTCTCTCAATTTTGCCATCTAATAATAATAATAATTATTATTATAATAATAAAAACCTCTTAACTTGTGGTTGGATGACAAGACTCTAGGTAACTTAGAGATCTTGGCTCCGTTTGGTTGCCAATTGGGAATACTATTATTAGTATTCCCAAAAAAGTTAAACAGTAAAATGCAAAAAAACTCACAATATTATCCAATATTATTTAATTTTTTTAAACCCCCTAAATTTGTTAATTTAATTAAATACCCCTAAATAATTTTTTCAAAATTACAAAAACACCCCTAAACCCACATTATACCAGATTCCTGCCACCATTGTCGGAAGTTGGTCGGAATCTGATATAATGGTGCACTACCGGCTGAATCTAGTCGGTAGTGCGCCAGAAAAGGCCAGATCTTTGGTCGTAACCATACGTCAACGATGGCCATATCTTTGACCGTTGTTGACGAGCAAATACGACCAGATCTGGCCATTGTAGATCTGGCCTTTGTCAGCCAGATCAGCGCATAACCGGCAAGATCCAGCCGGTCATTCGCCGATACTAGGACTCCGACCACCCTTCGGTGGTGGTGGCCGGCTGTGATTATTCAATAGGTGGGTTGGGGGTATTTTTGTTAACTTTCAAAGTTTTATTATAGGGGTGTTTAGTAAATAAACAAACATAGGTGGTATTTTTATTAATTTTCAAATCCTACATCGTAATACCCGCCCAATTTAACTTTTTTTAACTTTTTTTAGAAAACTTTTCTAAAAACTGCAAAAAAGTGAACCAAACGGAGCCCTTGTGTTCAAGTCATACAAAGTAGTCATCTACCACATTTGTTACTTACTTGACCCATTAGACTTATAACATGTTCAATAAACTCTAGGGATTAGTTGAGGTGTAAGCTGGCTTGAACACCTTGATTACCAACAATAATAATAATAATAATAATAATAATAATAATTCATCAAACTTAGTAAGTTGAACAATATATGTCAAGATCAAAATCAACTTCCTTTTCACTTGTCTACATTGTAGTTGGTACTCCTAACTTGATATTAACATATTTGCCTCTTTTTTTAGGTGGGATATGATTTAATTAATTAATTATCCTAAAATTGAGAAAAAAAAAAACAATTTTAAATTGAGCAAAAACAAACAAAATATGAACTATTCATAGTATGACTAATCAAGCATAGCTAGTGGGTTGGTGATATTCTCCACTAACAGCTATCAAAATTTTATTTCTTATAAATTACTTTTTCTGGGTCCCTACACTTTGAATATTTGAAGCAGAAAAGCTTGAAGTACAAACCCATTTGGATACTCTTACAAGAAATTATTTTGTAAAAAAGAAAATGATTTTTTACTAACTCTTGATTTGGCCTAAAGCAACAAAGAAGTGGTTCAAGTGAATGGATGAAACAAGAAAAGGTCGCTATTGGGATCTAAAATTATTGTCCTATTATGTACTTGTGGGACAGTCACGTAACAACCAATTTTGTTTGCATGAATTAGCGTTTAATAAAATCTAATCTTGTCCCAAATGGGTTTCCTTTTGTACATGCAATTTCCAAATTCACTATCTTATAATAGGATGTTGTTATGTTGTTTATTTTACCCGTTTTCGAGGGATTGATTTGGAAAACTATTAAATACTCTTTATCAGATAGGCTTTTGATAATCTTATAGAGTTTTCATCCAAAATTATTAAGACTTTTGAGACTTATTCATCTTTCTGGGGTAATTGAAATTTGCCCCTTTTTAAATATTTTTTATGAAGTAAAAAGTCAAATTTGTTTTAGGATGATTAACCTAATCATACTTAGTTGAAAGAGTATAGATTGATTTTTTCTTGATAATTAGATGCAATTTTGTGCTTGTTCTTAGGTCATCACAAGGGGTGAATATTGAGTCGAGTTGCTCATGAGCTACTCGAACTCGACTCGAAATTAGTCAAGTCGAGTTCAAGTTCGAGTACTTAATCGAGTCGAGTTTGATTACAATAGAACTCGACTTGATATGTTCGGGAGTATTTCCAAGCTCGATGGTTAAGTTGATAATTTTTAAAGTAATAGGGGTCATATGTAATTTAAAAGTTATAAAATTTATAAATCCACCCCTGTTAGATGAGCTCGAAATCGAGTTCAAACTCAAACTCGATTAAAACACAAACAAAACTCGACTGAAACTCGATGAAAACTAGAAAAAAACTTGATTATATGAACTTGAATTCGAATTTGATTTCCAATTTCAAGTACCGAGTTCGAGTTCGATCTCGATTTCTTAGACTTGAACTCAAATTTGGTACTGTAGCAATCGAGTCGAGTTCGATTTACCAAATACTCGAGTTTGATTTACCAAATACTTGACTCGATTACACGCCTAAACTCATCACTAGTCATAACACATAAAATAAAATCATATTAATTCATACACTCTCAATCTTTGTAGATCTTACAATTTAATAAAACATGGAGAGTGCCATCTTAACTATATTCATTCAGTAAGAACTAAACCAACATGAGGAATTTAGTATTTGATAATTTCATAGATAGGTTATCCATATTTCTAAGTTATAGGTAAAGAAATTCTATTTCATTATGACTTAATCCAATTCTTTGAACATTAAAATTTTAAACCAATTCTATTTAAGGCAAATTTTAAAATATTTTGTCTTAAAATTGAATAATTCCAAAGTGGTTGCCACCCATTTCCCAATTTTTTTGACTTAGCAAAAGACTTCGGCAAGGATCGGTCCCAACCGGGTTCGGGTTTGGGCTCAATTGGGACCGGTCCCATTTGGGACCAGTCACTCATGTCCCAGGCCCATGAAAAATTTAAGGGCTCGGACCGGTCCTATGAGCCTAGAAAATTTATTCCCCCCTCCCCAACTTTTTTTATATTTGGGCCAAAAAATTTATATAGGGGGTTATGTAATTTTTAGGGGGAGATTAGTAAAATTTTAATTAATTTAAAAATAAATAAATAAATAAATATCAACGGTCATGTGCTATGTGTAATTATTATTATTTTTTTAATTTTGTAAAATATCAATTTATCACTCAATACTTTGGTCAATTTTAAAATTTATGTGGGGTTTTTGGATATTATCTAGGAGGCTTTTGGAAAAAAAGGCAAAGGGGTTTGAGCTAGGACCGGTCCTTGTGAGGACTGGTCTTAGGACCGGTTTTTTGGGCCCGGTCCCAAATGCCTAGGTCTACTTAGCAAATTCACAGATGTGAGAATGAAGTTGGATGTAGTTATTCATTTTTTTTTTTGTTATCTTAGCAACTCGTATACCGTATATTGTAATGGTTTGATGGCAGAAAATTAGTGTAAAAGTTTAAGTAAAAAAATTAAGTTGATAAAGCGTAACGATTTATTAAAAAGCTTTAAATTTATGTTTGAGTGAAGGTAACATGATAATAAAAATAAAAGATATAAAATACAAATGAGATTGCTAAATAAATGGATAGGGTGTATGTGTGGTATAATTTATTCTCAAAACTCTTTCTGACATCCTTGAACATTTTATTAATGGACTGAAATGAATCGGCCCATTTTACTTATTCGAACTCTTTTTAGGTCATCTTAAAACTGGGCCAAGTTAGAAAAAATCCAAATTAAGTGGGTGTGGTTTGAGCACTAGAATTAAATTCAGAAAATGCCCTTATTTTGTTAGCCCATATTCCGAACCATTAGTTA